GTTCCATACCTCTAATAATTTTTGTTGACCTTTTCTGAGCCTTTTCCAAGTCCACTATATCTTTTTTTTCAGATGGAGCGACCACATCTGCATGCAGTATTCAAGATGTGGGCATACCATGGATTTATATAGAGGCAATATGATATTTTCTGTCTTATCTATTCCTTTCTTAATGATTCCCAACATTCTGTTTGCTTTTTTGACTGCTGCTGCACATTGAATGGATGTTTCAGAGAACTATCCACAATAACTCCAAGATCTTTCTTGGATGGTAACCCCTAAATTAGACCCCACCATTTATATGTATAGTTGGGATTATGTTTTCCAATGTGCATTACTTTGCATTTATCAACATTGAATTTCATTTACCATTTTGTTACCCAGTTTTGAGAGATGTTTTGTAGCTCTTCACAGTCTGCCTGGGACTTAAATATCTTGAGTAGTTTTGTATCCTCTGCAAATTTTGCCACCTCACTGTTTACCCCTTTTTCCAGATCATTTATGAATATGTTAAATAGGAGTGGGCCCAGTAAAGACCCCTGGAGGACACCACTATTTACCTCTCTCCTTTCTGAAATCTGACCATTTATTCCTACCATTTGTTTCTTATTTTTTAACAAGTTACCAATCCATAAGAGAACCTTCTTTCTTATCCCATGACTGCTTATTTTGCCTAAGAGCCTTTGGTGAGGGACCTTGTCAAAGGCTTTCTGAAAATCTAAATACACTATATCCACTGGCACCCCCTTGTCCACCTTCTTGTTGACCACCTCAAAAAATTCTAGTAGATTGGTGAGGCATGATTTCCCTTTACAAAAAACATGTTGACTATTCCCCAACAAATTATGTTCATCTATGTGTCTGACAATTTTGTTCTTTACTATAGTTTCAGCCAGTTTGCCCGGTACTGAAGTCAGGCTTACCGACCTGTAATTGCCGGGATCTCCTCTGGAGCCCTTTTTAAAAAATTGGCGTCGCATTAGCTATCCTCCAGTCAGAAGCTGATTTAAATTATAGGTTACAGACGACAGTAGTCCTGCAATTTCATATTTTGAGTTCCTTCAGAACTCTTGGGTGAATCCCATCTGGTCCTGGGGACTTATTACTGTTTAGTTTATCAGTTTGTTCCAAAACCTCCTCTAATAACACCTCAATCTGGGACAGTTCCTCAGATCTGTCACCTAAAAAGAATGGCTCAGGTTTGGGAATCTTCCTCACCTCCTCAACCATGAAGACCAATGGAAAGAATTCATTTAGTTTCTCCACAATGGCCTTATTATCCTTGAGTGCTCTTTTATCATCTCAATCATCCAGTGGCCCCACTGGTTGTTTAGTAAGCTTCCTGCTTCTGATGTACTTACTTATTGATATTACTTTTTGAGTCTTTGACTAGCTGTTCTTCAAATTCTTTTTTGGCCTTCCTAATTATATTTTTACACTTAATTTGCCAGAGTTTATGCTCCTTTCTATTTTCCTCATTAGGATTTAACTCCCACTTTTTAAAAGGATGTCTTTTTGCCTCTCACTGCTTCTTTTACTTTGTTGTTTAGCCATGGTGGTTCTTTTTTGGTTCTCTTACTATGTTTTTTAATTTGGGGTATACACTTAAGTTGAACCTCTATTATGGTGTCTGTAAAAAGTTTCCATGTAACTTGCAGGGGTTTTACTTTTGGTGCTGTACCTTTTAATTTCTGTTTAACTAACCTCTTCATTTTTGGGTAGTTCCCCTTTCTGAAATTAAATGTTCCAGTATCTGGCCGCTGTGGTATTTTCCCCATCACAGGGACGTTAAATTTTAATTATATTATGGTCACTATTACCAAGCGGTCAGCTATATTCACCTCTTGGACCTGATCCTGTGCTCCACTTAGGACTAAATCAAGAATTGCCTCTCCTCTTGTGGGTTCCAGGACTAGCTGCTCCAAGAAGCAGTCATTTAAGGTGTCAAGAAACTTTATCTCTGCATTCCTTCCTGAGGTGATATGTACCCAGCCAATATGGGGATAGTTGAAATCCCCCATTACTATTGAATTTTTTATTTTAATAGCCTCTCTAATCTCCCTGAGCATTTCACAGTCACTATCACCATCCTGGTCAGGTGGTCTGTAATATATCCCTACTGCTATATTCTTATTATTCAAGCATAGAATTGCTATCCATAGAAATTCTATGGTACAGTTTGGTTCATTTAAGATTTTTACTTCATTTGATTCTACACTTTCTTTCAACCTTATAGATTCTTTCACAAAGGTCTTCTACTTTCCCATTCTAGCCTCCCTCCCTTGAGATGCACTCTGAAGAAGCAGCACCCTGCAGGACATACAGCTGGCAACCCTGTCAAGAGCATCCTGTGGTCCTGCCCCCTTCCTTTATGGCCCACCTCAGTGAGCTTATTGGAACCAATGGGCTCCTTATGGCGACCAGCTCTACCGAGTTTCATAAGAGGACATTTCAAAAGCAACATCTGCTGTTGTTTATCAGGTCTATTCAAACAGCATGTATCCAAGAATCACTTCCATAGTCCAGTTATGGAAAACATACAGCTAAAAATGGGGAACTTGTTCTTGTTTTTTGGGTGAAAGAATCTAAAGGTTCAAAGTCCCTTCCTTCCTATCGCAAAATAGAGTTCTGCCAATTTATTAATAGGAGGTATAGGCTCCCTCTAGTGGCTAATTTGACTTTTGAATATTAAATATTGTCTGTATATATATAATTGAATTCTGTTGAGTCAGTTTTCAGGCTAAGTCTTTCACAGACCACTTAGACATAATCCGCAGACCCCCCAGGGGTCCCAGACCACAGGTTGAGAACCATTGTGATAGTGCATGTCAGTCCTGACATGAAATGCAGCTGCTATTGTAGTCTTAGTCTAAGTATGCTAAATTAGCCTATTGTGTTATGCAAATATACTTGGGCAATAGTTTGAAGTCATTGCACATCTGACCTAAACTAGAATTTAAAGGCTATTCTATAAAAAAAACACTAACAAATCTTTTCTTCAGTGATGCGCCATGAATTTAGCAGTCATAGTTTTATGAAGAGACATTTGAGGTCTAAAGAGATGCAACAAAATGTCTGCCCTGAATACACACAAGGTTCACAGAGAGTGGGGGATTTTTTTCAACATTCAAGAAACAGACAGGAAGCAATAAATCTGGACAAACTGAAGCTTTGTAAGTGTATTAAAGCAGGTATAGATAACTCTCCTCAGTGCTGTAGAAGCCCATCACTGGCTCATCTAGAGAGACTAGAGCTCTTGCCCAGTTGTGGGCTAAGTGGGAAAGGGGAACTGCTGGTTTTGTCTCTGGAGGCTGGGGAAGCAGAGCAGCCATAGCACCTTTTTCAGGAGGGAGCAGAGCAGCTGGAGCCCACACTTTTTTCACAAGATGGGAAGGTGAGGTAAGGAGTAGAGCTTCTCTGGAGCTGCTGCTCTTTCCACCAGCTGGGGGTGGAGTGTGGTATAGAGAACCCTGGTACAGGACTTTCTGTACTCTGCAGAGAAGTAAGGCCCAGCATTAATTGATTGATTGTGGCAGGAGGGAGGAGCCTGCATTAATTACTCTTATTCAGATGGAGGCAGAATTGATTGGCGGGTTAAATTGATTTTTGAGGTGGCTACATTTTAGAATTGATTTACGAAGGAAGGAAGATGATTTGGTGTAAGTTAGGCTTAGTTGTTGTGGGAGCAATGCAGGTTTGGGTTGGTTTTTTTTTTCCTTCACCCAAAATAGTAGGCTTAGTTGTTGGGTCAGTGGATATTGGAAATTCTTAAAGTTAAGTCAAACAAATAATTGTATTTCAAGATAAAGCATAAAAGTTGATTTGCAGAAGCAAAGAGAGCCTAATAATTGCCTTGTATGGCTCTACCACTTAAAATTCTGTATCTGCCCTATACTATTTTTCACCTATTTATATAGTCTTAAATACAGCATCAAAACAATCAACATCTGATCTTTTTATCATGAAGAAAATCGTGTTGCTTCGTAGAAAAGCCATGTCAGGACATCATTTTATGCTTGGTAAAGATCTTAGTATCCTGCAGACTCTCATGGTCAATACTAAATAGATTATTTATGCCATAAGCACTTACAGGAAAACAGAGGATGTCAGCAGAGCTAGACTATATTGGATGCTGTGTAGTGGATTTGGGTAGAGTATTAAAATGTATTGCAAGGAATGTCAGCCCATACTAGTGTCTGAAGGAGTGAAATCACTTATGTAATTTTAATAAGTGGCTTTTATAGTGACTTTTTTTGTGTGCACACAATGTGATGTGTGTTGTAAGCAACACCATCCATGCATATTAATATAACTGTGCAAGTGAAATAAAAAAACACAATTGCTTGGTGCTCTGTATTTGTGTAGTCTGAACGTGGAGCCTTTTACAGAGGAGGTTAGATTTCAACAGAATGTTTTATTTCTGTTCTAGGCTGAGTGTCTCAGCATTTAGAAAACAATGGTTTATTTTAATTAATCTAAAGAAAACTGTAGTGGCACACAATTGTGTTTTCTATTGTTAGCAAAATGTGTAAAGCATTTGTGTGGCAGAATAGGAGAGGGCAACCACATTTGGGGAAAAGGCAACTCTTTAATAATGAAAAGTGAGTTTCTTCAATGTTAAACGTTAGTCTACATTGACTTTTGGGGGGATGACTACCTGTAAAATGCTCTGAGGCATGATGATGGGATTAGATTCATGAATGGTGGAAGAATGTGTCCTCCAAAATTCATCTTCTTTAACAGTGATTCTTGCTCGTCTGAACATTGTTCAAATGATTAATAAACTGGGGGTGAGGAATGAACTTTGTGCCATTGCATACTGACAGGAACTTGAGTCTTTTTTTCACCTTCCTCTGGAACAGAGAGCAGGGATCTGTTAAGATCAGGGTATGTCCCACATGATTGGTTTCCTGTGAGTTAGACATTGGTGCCCTACAAACTGGCAAACATTTTGACTTTCAACAAGATGCTAACTTTGATTTTGTTTGTTTGTTTTGCAGTGATCCTATTCTGCATGGCAGCCCTAATATTTCCAATAGGATTTTACATCAATGAAGTTGGAGGTCAACCATATAAATTGCCCAACAACACAGTGGTTGGGTCCTCGTATGTACTGTTTGTCTTATCCATTTTCTTTACAATAGTGGGACTTCTATTTGCCGGCAAAGTTTGTTTACCTGGCTGATGAATATCTGAACTGCATGAGTTTGTTTCAGAGGAGAGCAAGATATCAGAGTTGCATTCTCAGGAGAAAGCCTAGATCAGACTATCAAATGCTTACTGAAAAGAGGAATGCTTTGACTTGTTCTCACTATGCACTTTGGATTTAAAAAAAAAAAAAAAGAGAGAGCCTTTCCCATAACCAAATACAGACATCGTTGACTAATCTCCTGAGCATATTAATGCAGTCAGGTCTGCACTGTGATAGGGACTAGTGAAGAAGAATGCTTTACACTGAGAAGCATATTGCCCCATGTTACTGTATCTGTTTTTAACGTCTAACCATTTGAAAATCAAAGTATTTATGAATCTTGTGGTAGACCAGAGGGTTGCAAAAGAGTTCAAGTGAGGCTGGCCTCACAATTTAGGAGATTAGCATTTTACATCTTCTTTCTGATGGGCAAAGTCTTTGGCACCAAAATGAATCCATCTTGCATTACTGCACCAAGAAGCCAATAGATCAAAATATGTTCTTTACAATGTGTGTAACAACAAAAATGAATACATCCCCCTTCAGCTGTAGAAAAACACTAAGAAATATTTGGGGGGGGGTGTTCTTTATATTTATATACATACACACATATATATATATTTTTTGCTGATGCAGTATACTGTGTGTGTGTATGTGTATGTATATGTATACGTGTATATATACACACAAACAGTTCCTGGAAGATAACTCAGAACGCTTTGCTAGCAGAACACTGTGGTGTGCAAAACTAGAACTCAATAGAAAAAAGCCATTTCTCTGAAGGCCACATAGCTGAGAGTCTTCAGTTTACCTCATTCTTTGTAGCAGCCCTTGATTTTAACAGGTTTTTGTAATAGGTACAAACAATCCCATGCCTTTCTAGGTGCAATTTTAAGTTAAGCTAAAATTCTTTGTATGGTAATTTATTTGTATATGAGGGTAGAAGGTGAGATCACGTCATACCTTAAAGTTAAAATCCTAATTTTGGGAAACTGACACTATTTAAATTATTAGCAACTGTTGTACAGGGAGTCTCTTTTCTACTGCTTTGTTTGTTACATTAACAATGAATTTATTTATACATGTTCAAGCACAGCAATTTACCATAGGTAAATTTCTCTAATGCATATAACATTCAGTGTTTAGGTCAACCTGTAAAAACACTATTCTGTAGTAAAGTTGGATGAATTTATTTTCACTTGTGAGTATTAAGTTAATTCATCTTCTTTACCAAAAAAGAGCAATATAACTGTTTTTAATGTCCATATGCCTTGTTTACTAAAGTTGAAGATAAAAGTGTGGGCATAAGGACCATCTGAATTCAGAGTGTAAGTTTTCCCCTGAAATCAACATTCTTTAAATACAATAACTGTATAAACATTGGATCCATGGATAGCGCTGTATAGTTCAATATTCACTTAAAATCTGACCTTTATTAGCACAAAACTTTGATTGATGTGCCAGGAAGCTTGCTTGCAGGATCAAGCCCTTATTCCCCAGTTAATATTTAATCTTTTTGTGGGGAAGTATTGACAAAAGTATCTCTTGACAACAAAATGTCTGTCCAAATATACTTATGAAAAGAGCTGCATTACTTAAACTTATGCTTTTATAAGGCATAAGTGAAACTGGTAAGAATGATGATTATATTGCTTCTGAAATGTATTTATAGTTATTTTGGAAAAAAACAGCTATCGTGGCAGAAACAAGTGTTAGAAATGAGATACCTTATACAATTATATTGAACTGTGTGCCATTAGAAGTATATCCCTGATTGATGTATTGGATCACTTTCACTTGGTTGTAGAAAAATCTCTTATCAGTTCACTCACAGGCCGAAGGAAGCTTTCACATCAAAGTCTCTCTACATTTTTCTGAAGTATAAGAATATACAGCCAGATTCTCATCTGGTACTGCTAGTTCAGATTTGATTGGTTTTTAATTTAGATCCTAATCTTGCAGTCATAGCTGCACAGGCAATCCAGAGCTTCACTGATATCAATGGAGCTCTGTATATGGATGCAATCTGGGTAGATCCAATTGCAGGACGGGGGTCTAAATGTTTTCAGCAGTGTTATAAGACTGGTGGTATAGCCTGATATAATGTGTTAACAATGAATCATAGCTCACTAATTAATTTGATAAGCTAATAGCTTTTTTTCCCCCTCAGAAATGTCAGTCTTATTGTAAATAGTTCCATAAAATATTTTAACTGGATCACAGACATGGGGGCGGGGGAAGAGTTTCTCAGCTGCTAAGAATTTTCCCCCATGTTTACTTATTTCAGTTAGTGACATCCTGTATAATAATAATTATCATTTAAGCTTATATTTAAAATGTATTACCATTTAATTAAAAAAACAAAACAAAAAAAACACATCATGAAGCATATCCAGTCCATGAATGGCTGGCTGGAACCTTAGTGGTTTAGCCAATCCTATGAATCATTGAAAGACAGCATCGCTTCAGCTAGCAGGCTGTTTTAGTTAATATTTGGGCATTTCAGTCTACAACTAGATGGATCCATTTGCATTAAAAATGTCCCTGTAAGTGAAAAGAGACAGCTGTCAATAGTTGCTTTTTAATAAGGTCACTAAGTACTATATAGTACAGTATTAATTTATAGCATAAAATCATAGCTTGTAAACTGTATATAAAACACTGTTCTATGGTGCAATCATTTGTCAAAGTTATGTCTGTTACTTTTGTTTTAAAGTTGTGTGCATTCTTTTCATACCTAAGAGCATCACTGTAAAATCTGCTGAATACTATTTATAGGTTTTATTTGCACAAGGATTAGTTTTTAAACTACAGGAAGTTCCTGTTGAACATGCCTAAACATCTGTAGACTTTCAACTCATTAAAGCAAATGTTTCAGTATGAATCTTCTCCAAAGGTAATAATCCATGTTTCATGTTGTTGTTTACGTAAAGTTTTCAGACTCTGACAGCCATTTTATATATTTTGAAGGACAGTTTATTCTATTATAGGTCACAGCACACTCTTGTGTAGTCTTCATTTCATTATCACCTGAAAGGTTTAATGTCACAGCATAATGCAATTTATGTATGCATTTTGTAGTTTTATCTGTTAACCTCAAATCCTAATCAGAAACTTAAAATACTTTAAAAAGGAAAATTGTAAATGTGTCTGTATAACGCTTCTTGAAGACAGAAGGAATAACTCACTAGAAGCTTTTTTAGTTTCTCTGTTGGGCAGTATGATTCTCTGAAAGCATTTACAAACCCATTCACCATTTGACTTTCATTGCTGAGCCTCTAGGCATTTAACAACTGGTCCAAAATGCTGGTATTGTGTAACAACTCTAGACTTAATCCTGCTCCTGCCTTTACTCAAGCAGAACTCTCTTTGGGTCAGTTTCAATGGGCGTTTCTCTTGAGTGACACGCTCAGCTGCAGGATTAGGCTCCCCCGACTCCATGGACCGGTACTGCTGTTTCAAAGCCTCTGTGTAAGCATTATAGCCCATCCCTGGACATGCCCATTCACCAGGAAGCCTGGCTACACTCCAGGCCGTCTTCTGCAAACGGTGCGAAGGATGGAAAAGATGAAGGCAAGAGGTGTCTGCCACTCGCTCAAAATCTGTGTTGCAGCGGTCGTCTCCCCCAGCCTAGGACACTCTTCAGGCGCTGATGGCCAGGCACCTGCTACTACAGACTGTGCAAACGAACAGACTTTTCTTCACTTGTATTTTTGTTATCGAGCAAGTTTATCAAAATAAATTGTCTACGACAGGCCTGGCCCCGTCTGCATTGATTGCGAGTCGTGCCTGCTGCAGCCCCCGCCGGAGGCGGCCCTGGAGAGCCGCCACCTACCCGCCCCGGCTGGGCTGGGAAGCGGCATGCCAGGCCCCTACACGCCCACCCCGGCCGGCTTGCAGCGCCGCAGTCCTGCCCAACGGACCGTACCACTCCCTGGCATAGGGGGGGGGGGAGGACACCCAGCCCCTGCCGGGCGGGGAATAGTTCCTCCCGTTTCTGTTAGCGACGCGGTAACACACGGCTGGCGCGGGTGCCCTGTTCTGTCCGGCCCGCTCCAGCCGCGGAAGGAGAGGAGCGGGTGAGGCCGGCGAGCTGCAAGGGGCGGGGGTGGCGGGTTCTTGCAGAAGCCGGGGCGAGCTGAACTCGAACGGGCTCGCGCCGGCCAAGGTTCAAATGCTTCAGCCCCCTCGGCTGCGCAGCTCCCGAGTCCCTTCAGAGGCGCCTGGGTTTCCCCGGGCCGGACCCGGCGCCTTTTGCGCGCCCTCCGCTGGGCGCGGAGGGTGTCAGGCCCCTGGGGCTCGGGTCTTTGCTCAGAAGAAGGAAATGTCAGATCAGAGCTAATGCAGATAGTCAGTGGAGTGCATGGCTGTAAAATAACGGACAGTTACATTGTATGCAGGGTGGGTGTAGCTGTGTGGGTCCCAGGATAGGAGAGAGACAAGGGGAGTAAGGGAATAGCTTGTATTGGACCAGCATCTGTTGGTGAGAGAGACGCAAGCTTTCCAGCTCTTCTTCAGGGCTGGGAAACTTACTCAGAGGTAAATACAAGGTGGAACAGAGAGTTTAGCATAAGTAGTTAACACATTTCAAGGGACCATTCAAGGTGAAGTGGCCTGTTAACACCTCTCCCCGGTCATAAGGAGGCAAGGAAGGGGGGAATTAGCTGGTGGGGGTTATTAGTAGGTTATTTTACCCACAAAAGCTTCTGCCCAAATAAATCTGTTAGTCTTTAAGGTGCCATTGGACTCCTTGTTGCTTTTATAGATTGTTATAATAAGCCATAAATCCAGTAGCTACTTATGCTTATCAATCTGTTCCATCTTGTATTAAGTTATGACATTCCGAGTAAGTTTCCCAGACCTGAAGAAGAGCTCTGTGTATACTCGAAAATGTGTCTCTCTCACCAACAGAAGTTGGTCAAATAAAAGATATTACCTCACCCAACTTGTCTTGAATAGTTAAATTGCCATTATTATTGAAGTACACTGGACAGTCCAACCAAAAGATAAACCCAAAGTACACATGGCTAGTGTGCTGACGTGTCTGTCTGGTGACATATAAGATGCTTTAAAAATTGCATTTGTGCGTCATACTGGCAGGGTACCCTTGGTGAATGACTTCTAGCAGAATGGTTTCCAAGTATATTATGTAATAATAATCAAAGAATAACGTCCACTTCTTTTTTTAATTTTCTTGGTCACAGGCACTGCACGCAATATAATTAAGTATGTGGTTTCTGTTGATTTGTATCTATGGGACTATAATCTTAGGAGAGTGATATCTTGTATCAAGCATTTATATATAGCTTTTATTCTTGATATTCTAAACTTCCACTCTTTAATGCTATGTCTCTTTTTTTAAAGAAGGTTAAATCTTTGGTCATAATACAATGGATGCACAAACCAGAAAAATGGCTCAGTTATTGGACAATGATCAGTTCTTGGAAAAAGTAGGGTAAGGATGTTGTTGCAAAATCCTTAGGGGAAATGCTTAAATGGAAATGAAATATACATCTCTGGTGATGCAGACTACATTTTTCCATGCATATGTATATTGGGATGCTTAAAATGGAGCATAAGAATTCTTAGTTGTTCAACAGATACCAGAATGTTTAATTCTTATGGGTAATGATGAACAATTTTATAAATGGACTATTCAACAGTGCAACAGCACTCTCAGTGATGCAAACAACTGCCCAGTTTTTGAAATGCCTTATTTTGTAGGGTAAGCATGGGATCTGATGCAGTTATGATGAAAGGCCGACCATCCTGGCATGATATTACAATAACAGATTTGGAGCCCAATAATGGATTACTGGTTACACACATCAACCAGACACAAGACCTGCTGGTAAGCAAATATGCAGTAATTCCTCAGATGATGCATTACATTTATAGAAGGGAATATATGAGGAGACAGAAAATTAATGTTCTATCACTATCACTTATGCATTCACAAAAAAGAACACAGTAATTGTTATCACCAAAGCCACAATAAATATAGGCAACTTTTCTTGAGAAGATCTGTGTACCAGCAGGTATATCTCTTGAGGCTAAGTTGCCTGAGAGCCTGTAAGCAAGGTAAAATTATAAATGTTTAGATCCATGAACTTTTTGTTCGTTAAATTTTCATCTACTCTCCCCCTTCCCCCCACCCCAATTCCTCAACTTTTAAATCAATGAATCAGGCTAAGGAAATTTAAGTCTTCCTGTCCTTCTATAAAATACATAATGAACTTCTTCCATATTGAGCTCTTTGTTTTCTATCCCCTCTCTGCCCTCTTATCCATTCTCTATCACCATTGACAAAATCATTAACCTTTCCATCGCTCAAGCCCACAATATTGGTGTTTCCAGGACTCCTTCCTCTCACATGTTGCCCCCCACGTCCAAGCTATGTCTGAGTCCTTCTGGCTTTTTTCTCCACAACATCTCTAAAATCTGGCCTTCTCTTTCTATCCCTTATTAAAGCTCTCATTGTATCTAATCTTGGTTACTGCAGCATCTTCTCTAACATCCACATCACTCTTCTCAAATCTGTTCAAAGAGCTGCTGTTAAAATTATTTTCTTTGTCTGTTGTTCTGATCATGTTATGTCCTCACCTCTAAATCCCTCCACTGGTTCCTCTTCTCCCCCCACATGTAAAATTTAAGCTTCTTGTCCAATGTTTCAAAGCCCTGCATAACTAATTATGTACCTTTGTCTTGTTTTGAATTGTCCCCCTAGCAATGCCAGCTTCACTCACCCATTGTTTAGTTTCTTAGAAGCCATGGAGATGTTTATTTTCCACACTATACCCATGCATGGAATGCCCTTCTTCAGCTCATTGACAAGGGCTCTACCCTCTCTGCGTTAAAATCCCTCCTAAAGACCCAATTCTGCTGTGATGTTTATAGAGAAATTGGTAGACTTATAAGTACATTCCATAAGTAATTAAAATGATCTGCCTTTTTAATTTAAAATCCTGTTAACCTTATTGTGGTGACATGGCCAATCACCACCTTGACCACTCTACTAATTCGTTGTACTCCTTACTCTGACACCTTCTGACTGTGAGCTCCTTAAGGCAGGAACCATTACGTCTTGTCTGACTGGAAAATGCCTAGCACATTGTGGTGCTACTGGAAGCAAACGAGTTTTCCATTTTCCTTATTGAGATTTGTACAGATGTGATCATTACCAGCCCTATGGACTATCCAATGTTTGAAATATAGTAGGTTCTTCAGTTAATGGCAGTCTCTGGACCAGCTAGGTCAACTGTTATAATAATTCTTTTCATTTACATGCTGCTGTGTTTATCAGCTGTTCCTGTCTTGTCTTAAATTCACAAAATAAGATTTTTCTGACTGCAATTTCCACCTACCTTTATGCTCCGTGATGTGCTTTTTCACATGTTGCTGGGTGTAAATTGAGAAGGAAATGAGAGCAAATTCTATTGAGTATCTAATTTTCTCTATTTTAGGTATCAACTTTCATGAGTATCAGTGCTTTACATCAGCAAATGTATATATTATACACAATAAAATCATCTCCAGTGTCCTTAATGGTTATTCTCTTCTCCATGTAGCAATAGAACTCTTGCATCTTCCTACCTTTTTGTTGGTTATTTCTTAAAAAAATAATAAAGAAAAGAAAGAGAGGAATAGCTTATGGTTCTTTTTGATTCTATGGATAATTAAGCTATTATGAAACAGGAAAATGAAGAGGGACAGTGACCTCTAGTGGCATCACAGTGATTTATTTGTTGAATTACATGTACAGTAGATGCTTGTTTGCAGCAACACTTTGTAAGTGCAACCACTGCTTACAAGCAACATTTCCCCTGAGAACACTTTCCATACTGTGAATTGTTGACACTCCCAATAACAGCAACAGCCGCTTAGGAGCAGCATAGCAAAAGGGCACTAATATGTTGCTACTAATAAGCGTCTAATATATTATGTTCCAAGAGGAAATAACAGACTATAATGCCTGTTGAAACTATGTAGCAGGCACCTTCTTTGGTGTCTGCTATAATACAC